GTAGGGAAAATAACATGACAAACGTGTGGAAACGCCATAAGTACCCGCCTTGTGAGCTTAGCCCCCTAATAAAGCTTGGCAGCTTTCACCTAAAACTGTAAACTACAAAAACTGCCAAATTGAGAAATTTCCTTTTTTTTAAATCAACAAAATAAATATGAAGAAATAGGAGTTTGCAGTGAATAGCTGCAGCAGGAGATGAGCAATAGCATCATCTTTGTAAAAAGCAGCTGTATTAAAAAGTTGATTAACCAGGTATATTTTTAATTTTTCTGATGTAGTACTGCTTTTCCAGATTTTTATATGTGTGAAAAATAGATAGCTTACATTCTGCTTGTGTCAGCTGAAGGCACATAAAAGCAGGGAGATGAGAAACCAGGAGCTGCTGAAAAACTACATTAGTAGAATTGTTACAACCATGACTGACTAAAGATCTAGGAGAGACAAGGTTTATTAGAAGAAATAATATCTTTTACTGGACCAATTTTATAGCTAGAAAAACAGATGTGTTCCTTGGATACAAACACTTCTTCCAGGATAATTACTTATTACCTGAGGAACAGGCCCTGAAAAAGATTTGTGCGCCAAAAGATGGTTTATTTTTTCCTCTATTTCAATTAGACTAATAAAATATATTACCTGTACTGCTCGCATCTTTTTGAACTGTGGTGCAGCACATCTTTTGACAAGAATAAATACCTCTTCACAAGGTCTGTGGAATTCAACCCAAGTGGATGATAGATTAATTAATGAAGAATATTCATTTAAAGGCTGACAGACAGGCAGTTATGATCAGCAGCCCTTCCAGAAAATATACATGTAGCCCTCAGACAAATAAAAACCATTAAGAATAGCAGAAGAGCTTCAACAAAGAAAATCTGAAGTCAATTATTTCCCATAACACACTGGATTAATTTCATAGGTCATCCCACTGAGCTACAACAGGACTTCTACTTCAGTGAATACAACTGATAACATGAAATGTGTGCTGCTGGTGGCGCTTTGTTTTCTTTAATGCATAAATAGTTGCATCGGCTTCACAGGAAACAGCACAATGGAAAATTGCCAACTATGCACAAATTTAGAAAGAGCAATTCTCTTCACTCATCTAAAGGCTTTACGAGGGACTTAATGTTCGTATCATTTGCGTGAGTAACGTCTAGGTGAAGTCAATATACTTTGCAGCACAGAATTCATCTTCTTGAGAGGTGCAGTGTATTTTACACTGCAGAATTAAAGTATTCACTGCTATTGTAGCTATCAACTGTACATCCAAGACAGCAATGAGATGGTGATTTTTGTCTAACAGTTATTTTTACAAATGCTTGATAAGGTAATATTTATTATTATTATTTTGTTACAGCGAAACAGATTGTTTCTTTACTTTTGCTTAACCCACCCTCCCTCAAAAAAGATTTCATACAGCCAAGTAAAAAGCCGTAAAACCAATAAAATGTCTCTACATATCTTACCTTGCAGAATATTTTAAGACCTCAATCTGTTCAACTGAAAAGAAGAAAAGCCCAAGAAGGTAACTTTGTTTAATGGACAGAAAAATGCCAGGTACTAAAAGATGCCCTTAATTCTAGGTACGGAAGACAAACTGAGGCCTAATGGCTGGAAGTAAAAACACAGTTACAATTAATTCAGGAATTAGGCATGCTTTTTCAAATAGTTATTTGAAAAAACACTAAAACACACCTTTGGAATAACCTAGCAAATGAAAGCACAGCTGTTCCATCTCTTCATACTTATAATATCTTTACTCCCATACTACACATTGTCCTTGACCTAGAGGTAACTGGTAGGGTTTTATAGCATGTCCTATACAAAAGGCATAGCCAGAGGATCCAACGGTCCTTCCTAACTCTAGACATCCATTAATCTTTTTTTCTGTTGAAACCTATGGCTACATATGTACCATGAACTTGTTTGGTATTACCTCTTGTATACACATGAGCAAATGCTCTGTTCTTCTCTACTCTGTGACTCTACCATTTCTGAAGTTTTGTCAAACCACACGCATTGACACTTGCCTTCTGCTTGGACACAGCACTACCTCTTACCTTAGTAAACACAAGTACAGGAAAGAACAAAATAGTCTGGTTTTGCTCTAGAAATATTGTTAGTAAAAATAATTTCCAACAGTTTGTCCAAGAAAAAAAAAGCTAAAATAGAAGCTATCTCAGGCAATAATAGATAATTTTTCCTTCTATTCATAGATGTGTATCCTTTCAATTTATACTCGGGAATATCGTTATGTACATAGTCCTATTCAAGTTCATCATTATTTTGAGGCCACCCATAAGAGTTAAAACTTTTATGATTTCAGTCTTCCTTTACATACTGTTTGAACTTCAAAATATGACCATTCCCTACAAATACCTATTAGCACGTGGCTTTTCTAACACCAGTGTGCAAACCCTGTATGTAGCAATAGCGTATCAAAAGGGAAGCCAGGTCTGAAATGAAATTCTAATTCACATTAGGATTTCCTAATCCTTTCTGCTCACCTTGAATATGAAAATAAATTGCAGTATATCTAAACAAAAATGTTGCCTGAAGCTGCATCTTTCTACCTTTGAGATATGTAGAATGAATAAAACCAGAAATTTTCTTTGTTATTTGCCAAACAATTCTAAGCTTGAACAATCAACAGAATCTGTAGTGTTTGTTGTATTTTTGGTAAACAAATACTGTTTGCCGTCACAACATAGAGCCAGAATAAAGAGTGATGAGTTTGTTCACCAACTATTAAAACATGCAATAATGATTAAAGCACCCAATCATGAAAAAGTTTTCACTTACGCGTAGGATCATTGGCTTCTCTTTCCTCACGACAACAACCACCAGGCTCATGAACAATTTAGTTTGGCAGCTTCGTGTGTTAGCTCCAAAAAGCAGAGTTTCATTAAACAAACTGAAATATGCATAACAGGGAGAACAGAGGATGCTAAAACCTTTTATCACACACCCCACTGCATAGAATTTTTTTTTAAATAAATGTTGAACAACAACAAATATCTTTGAACTTCTCTCTTTAACAGACCTTACAGACCTCCTAAAGTGTAGCAATAAATATGCCTCAAGAAATCAGTGTTTCACTTCACACCAATTAATAATGCCACAACTGCCTTTGTTATGCAGACTGTATAGAAGGGTGAATGCTATCCAAGAGCAAAACCATGCATTAATAGTGCCCTTCTTTCTTGTGTTAGTAAGCATAGCATCCCTGCTTCAGTTCTATTCTCTTCCACTTATAGGTCCTTCTAGTAGGCAGCTGAGTCCACTTAAAGCATCGAGTTCAGAATAGTTTGGCATCCAATTTCCCAGCTCAAGTTATTAAAACAAGAACTGCTGTGATTCATGAACTATGTATGGCTGAATGGCTGACTATTCCTTTCACTTAAGTTCAAGATTTTTATTAATGTATCTGTATCTCTGAAATAAAAACCTCACAAAGGCACCAACATGCTGAGATTCAATGTCTCTTCTTATCAGTGCCTAATACAGGCAATGAAGGATCTGACATCCACAAACTCCCATCATAATTCTGTCTATTCTGAAGATTTCATTTGCTCAAATAAACTCTGTAGGTCACTACTCACATCTCAAGGGGTTATTTTACTACTGATTTTGCATCATTTGGGCACAGAAAATTAAAAAGGACATTTAACTTCTCCATTACTTTCTTACTTTAGAAATACCAAGATAAATCAAAATGTATGCATATTTATTAATTTGCACATTCACAGGGACTCAGGAACACTATTTCATGTAAGTGTACCAGTTCTGATCATATCTTGTTACTAAACTGAACTGTTTTGAGGAATTAACTTCTGCTCTTATAAACCTGAAAAGTAGTATGAATAGCTTGACAGCTTGTCTCTGAAACAGAGGTAGTTCTCAATCACTAATGATGATTCTTGTTTGTTTAAAAAACATACAAATTTTCCCACTGTGATCAACTCTCCCTATAAGACCCACCCAATATCACATCACCAGCAGCAGCCAGTCTCTAATCTCCAGCACAAGGCTGTAGTTTAACATGCACTTTAAGGTAACAGTGATGCAAAAAAAAAAAAAGATGTTTTCTCTGCTTGCCACCCCCAATTAGCCATTCCCCTATGCCCATATCACTCCCTACAGCATGGTGCCATGACTACCATTAATCAAACCAGAGTCAATCGATCCAGATGTTGCTTGGTTATTTTTGATCACATAATTTTCTGAACAGCAGAAGCTCTGAAGCATAGAGTTAAAACAGTAAAAGTACAGTATGAACAAACAGGTGACACCACCTCTTTTCATAATTCCCTTAGAAATATCAACACATTAGACACACAGCATTCATTTCAGAAGCTTACTTTTCTATCTGCAGTTATATGCTCTCCTGGATACAATTCTGTCCATAAAACAGTTTGTGGTCTCTCTTGACTGCCTTTTTTTTCCCCCCTCTCTGTCTAAATCCACTTAATACAGCCTCAGTCTTGTTCTGAAACTGTTCATAAATCCATTTTACTATGTCACATTTATCTTTTTAGATATTGCCCTGAAGAATGCCAAAGCATCTAAGGAAACAATTCATCACATAAGCCCTAATCACACAATAAAGAAAAAAAATATTTCCCATGTTATATGCCTGCAAACTAAGGAACACAAAGGTGAAGTCTAAACAACAGCTGTGAAAACAGCTGCACCTGGTGAATACCAGGTGAAAGGAGAAAAAAGATACATAAAAAGAAATATTGTGATCTATTGCAAAAAGAGCTCATAATTGTCACATCAAAAAGGTTTTATCTTGTATAAAGATTTGAATTAAGAAATTAGGGAAAATGTCAGTGCTGGGGATACCCTGTGATTTAACTTTGATCAGAGTTAACATGAATGGAAGTTACAGGCATAAATCTCTATGAATCAAGATGCAAAAATATTCCTTTTCCTTTTTTACTTTGTCCTTTTACAGGCTCAGAGAAGGTAAAGTGTTTCAAAAGAAAAGGTATAGCTTTGATAACAAGATCAAATTGCTTTCCATGTCACATCTGTCCTTAAAGAGTAAAGACAAAAATGACAACTTATTCTCATCTGGAGGAAAAACTCTGTTAAAATGTGACTAATGAATATTCAAAAAGACTTATACTACTGTGCACACTGCCACACTTACAAGCAGGAAAATTGCATTACTTCCCTCTTACAGCTGAAATGTCTGACAGGTTGTTGCCAACAATGCATATTTTACAGGCTTATTTTCCTCCGAACAATGTCCCTTAGAGGGAATATTCATAGAAAATAAGACTAAGTGCCGGATTTCAATTTTTCAGGTAACAGAAAGGTTACCAATTTTTCTCAGCAACCAGTTCTGTCAGCTCTCGACCTGTTTAGTTCCCAGCTTCTCCCTCAATTCCTGCCTGATTTACAACAATATAGAAAGCCTCTCCCTCCTCTCCAGCAGCTTCCACTGACCTGATTCCCATCCTCTTAACTCTCCAAGCTCCACTGGCCCCAAATTTCCTCTAAATTTCTTTCCCTCCCCATGCTTCATTGCTTCCTTTTCCACATTCCCTGCAGTGAACCCCACCCCACACTTAATCCCAGTTTTCTTACCCTCAACCCTTCCTATCTTATCATCAGCATTTCATAACCTTCCCCATTTTCTAATGGGAACATAGCCCATCCTCCAGCAAGTCCTAACATATCTTTATCCTCCTCACTCCTCTCTGGATCAGGTCCTCACTTTCTCCACTTTCACTTCCTCCACTCCAGTAAGGAGCCAGATTCCAAAAGCTGGCAAGTTTGTAAAGACAAAAGTCTGCCAGGATAAGTGTCTGCCAAGTCTGCAGATTTATAAAGAGAATTTCATTTAACTAAGTGTTCCCTCCCACTATTTACTCTTTATACTTCGCAGAACACAGGTTTCACAATGCTTATTTTCAGATAATTTCTTCAAAATATATTACAAACACTTAAAATATGATCATTTCAGGTTAGAGTAACTAAGTCAAAACTGGTGGGTTTTACTTTATCAAATACAGGAGACCTTCTCATGCAAATGCAAACTTCTGATTCTTGGAGCAGTCAAAACTAACCTCATTTCCTTTGTATGACAAAAAGTTATCCAGTAAAGAATCTTGTAGGAATCATTTTTGGAAGACAACGCGAGTTCTGCTACAGTGCTGCCTGTTTTAGAGGATCAGACATAACATGGTGGGCATGTGGGAGTAACTTAAAACATGCATATGAATAAAAAACAATTAAGTAAGAAAAACTGAAGCCCTTTTTTTTTTTTTTTGTCCAAGATATCTGTCTGATCAACAGAAATAAACTTTGGTGAACAATCTTCCATTAGCCTTGGATTGATTAAAACTCCCCTTCCCATTGCAGATGTTCAAGATCCTGAAGCAGGCTGTTACTAAACATTTTAACTCCCCAGGTTTTCTTTGGTATCAAACACTGCATTTTAAGTAACTGTCATGCAATGAATTGCTCTAGCTATAACTAACTGCTCTTTCTCAAGTACCAATGTTCTTCTGACTGCCAATTAGCTCCAAATCATAACAGCTGTCCAGACTGTTTATGTAACTAACTCCTAGACAATTATCTGATACCAATATTCTTCAAAGAAATCAAAAAATCTTCTCTAAGCACAAAAAAGCAAAACATTTGTTTCTTTATCGAGAATTCAAATACAAAAATACACAATCCTGTCCTGAATTTAAAGTGTTAATTTCAGAAAGGCTTGTGTTCTTTGGTGGTTGTGTGTGTTTTTTTAATGAAAAAACCTATTCAATGAGTTATGAAAATTTAAAGGGAAGTTATTAAGCTATTCACCAAGCCTATGTCATTTCAATTAATTTTATTAGTTTTACTGAATGAATACTATGAATACAGAAAATTATCTGAGGCAACAAAAAGTGTTTTAACATCTCATTCCTTTCCTGAATAATGTATTTTTGCTTCTTCCTCTGCTAAAAGGTGAATTAACCTAGACAAGTATTCTCAAACCTAATTTCCATATATCAATCAGTAATATAGAATGCAAAATGTGATCCTGAGTTTTTAATGGGCTAGCATGCACTTGTCTACATAAGGAAACGCTCTTGTTCTAAATAGCAAGCTTTTGTCGTCTCCAGCTAGTTTTCCAGCCGTAGCCTTAACCCAGGGTTCACCTACCATTGCCACCAGCAACACAATGGCAAGATAGGAAGGACTACAAATATAATGACCAAACAAGTGACCCAACAGCATTTCCATTTCTCACTCCATTACCTTCTTCCAGGCCTTTGATCCCGTTGATAAAAAGAAGCACCCTACCCTGAATTGCTATAGCCTGAGGGAAAAAATACTGTATTTACTCTGAGTTTATTCTCACATAAAAAAAAGACTACAAATAAGCACCTTACAGGAAAGCATTACAGAACTGTCACCACAAGACCATTCTCAGTCACACTGTTTGAGGAACCTACACAGCAGGAAATGATGTGCACAAGAAAGGACAGGAGCTAAATTAGTCACCCGTCAAACAAAACCAGGGCGATTTTAAATTTTTATTTTCATAAAATAAAGTGAGTGCAAACTCCCTGTGAATCCTCTGACCTACATGATGAAAGACCCAAGACACTGTTTAATTTGATTCACTAGTCATAAATTTCAGCTTCAGTGAATTAGTTCTTCATTAACTGTCTCCCTTAGAGAAGTCACCTAGTGATTTTTGTTTTCCTTTTGTATGTATTACTTCCGTATGCTAACCTGAGAAGATATATTGTGGCTGCAAAAATACTGCCAGTGCTAAGGACATCTCCCAGGATAAAAGACGTGATAACAGTGGTGTCTCTCAGGGGTCCGTATTTGGACCAGTTCTGTTCAATATGTTCGTCGATGACACAGACAGTGGGATCAAGCACATCCTCAGCAAGTTTCCAGTTGACACGTCTGAGGGATGAGATGCCACCCAGAGGGACCTGGACAAGCTCGAGGAATGGACCCATGTGAACCTTGTGAGGGTTCAACAAGGCAAGTGCAAGATCCTGCACCTGGGTTGAGGCAACACAACAATACAATCAATACAGGCTGAGGGTTGAAGGGGTTGAGAGCAGCCCTGCCGAGAAGGACTTGGGGGTACTGGTAAGTGAAAAGCTAGACATGAGCTGGCAATGGGCACTCACAGCCCAGATGGCCAACCGTATCCTGGCCTGCATCCAAAGAAGCCAGCAGGTCGAGGGAGGAGATTCTGGACCTCTACTGCGTTTTGGTGAGACCCCACCGCGAATCCCGCATCCAGCTCTCAAGCCCTCAGCACAGGAAAGACATGGACCCGTTAAAGGAGGGCCACAAAAATGATCAGAGGGATGGAACACCTCTCCTGTGATGACAGGCTGAGAGAGATGGGGTTTTTCAGCCTGGAGAAGAGAAGGCTCTGGAGAGACCTTACTGCAACCTTCCAGTCCTTAAAGGGGGCTTATAAAAAAAGATGGTGACAGACTTTTTAACAGGACCTATAGCAATAGGACAAGAGGTAATGGTTTTAAACTAGAAGAGGATAGGTCTCAACTAGATACAAGGAAGACATTTTCCACAATGAGGGTGGTAAAACCGTGGAACTGGTTGCTGAGAGAAGTTGTGGATGCCCCTCCCTGGAATTGTTCAAGGCCAGGCTGGATGGGTCTCTGAGCAACCTGACCTACTTGAAGACGTCCCTGCTCACTACAGCAGGGTTGGATGAGATGACCTTTAAAGATCCATTCCAACCCAAACTATTCTATGATGGTAATCCTCCAGTGCCTAGAAGAAATTAAGATAATTTATTTTTCTTTAAGTAGTACTTTCTGTTACCAATATGGATAGAAAGATTTTTCCACTTAAGTGTATTACTCATTGCGTAAAGACCCCTCTTATTTAAAATTCAAGAGTAATAATTGAAATATGGACATTAGATCAGCCACACTAGGTCACATAACACTATATGCTGTCTCCACCAGTGACAACTCTCAGGTTTGCCTGACCTGTGTCCCTTCCACAGTGAAAAAGGAATCCCAGTATGCAAGCACACAGAGTACATCACGTTGTACTACCTCTTCCAATTCCTTCAGAAACATTTGCTAGGGTCCTGGTTGCCTCCTCCCCTCCCCACACATCTACCTTTCCATCTGCCATTGTAGCATGTACCAGGAACTCCCTGTCAATCACCTCCTTTCTCTGGGACACCTGGCCCATACAGTAGGGTGGGGAAATATAAGAGGGTGTTTATACGCATAAGGACAATCTCCATTCCTGTGAGTTTAAAATTTCTTCCCACCCCATCACGTCTGCAGGCAAAGCATGACTGGGCAGAGCCCACTGGCCCAACAAATGAGCTGGGAGCGCAATGGGAGGTGTAAAAAGAGTGCTGTTCAGTATTCCCTGCAGCTCCCTGTCCTTGCATTTCAACCTTGGATTCTCATCTCTTCGCAGTATCAAAGGGCTTTGAGCATCTGACATACAAGGGTGGTTGTGGGGACTAATGAAGACAGAGCCAGACTCCTCTTAGCGATACTCAGTGAACACACAAGAAAGGTGCAAACTGAAATACAAGAAACACAAGAAAAGGCTTTGGTTTTGTTTTTGGTTTTTTTTTAAACCATAAGGCTAGACAAACACCTGGACACGTTGCCAAGAGATGTTGTGGAGTCTCCACCGACAGAGAGATTCAAAACCCAACTACACATGTCCCTGAGTAAATACTAGTTGACCCTGTTTCGAGCAGAGGTGTTGGACCAGACAATCTCCAGAGGTGCCTTCCAACCTCAGCGATTCTGTTCCTCTCCTACTACTGATTAACATATTGAGAGTCAGTAGGGAGTATAGATTAGATTTGTCAGAGGATTGTTTAACTTTTGGTAAATCCCTGACCCCTCTCACATCTCCACAGCATGACAGGCACTGAGCAGAAGGTAAAGGTCTTCACTACAAACGAGTTGTTTCTTTGGAGGTGGCACATAGGTAGTGACATGCAGATTTTAGTAGCCTGCCTGCACAAACAGACTGCAGACCACAGATGTTGTGGGGGTTTTTTCAACAACGCTGCGTAACAATTTTGCTACAGTACTCACCTGTACTCAGAACATGTTGTGCTTGTGGAAAATGTGACAATGAATAGGAAAGTGAAATATACAAGTCAAAATAAGATAGAAAAAGAACAAAGCTGCTTTTGCTTGACAAGTATAGTTATCTGTTTAAACAATATTAATTATTATTGAACATTTTAACACATTACCAGATATTTCTGTACAGAAAAAAATCTTTCCCTTCATGTGGGAAAAGAAATCCTTAACAACAACAAAAAAATCAACTCAAAAAGTGAGCAATTTTGGAATAAGCTTTCCAACATTTTAAAAATCTAGTCACGTACAAATGAGTTCAGACAATACTTACAGCAAGTACTCCTATATTAGGACTTCAGATGAAAATAACAGATACCCAACTCACATTATTGGCTTTGGCCAGGAAAGAGTTAAATTTCTTCATAGTAACTAGTACGGGGCTATGGTTTGGATTTGTGACCAAACACTGTTGGTAACACAGGGGTGTTTTAGCTGTTGCTGAGCAGTGCTTGCACAGAGCCAAGGCCTTTTCTGCTCCTCACCCCACCCCACCAGTGAGCAGGCTGGGGGTGTACACAGAGTTGGGAGGGGACACAGCCAGAACAGCTGACCCCAACTGTGACCCCAGGGATATCCCACACCATATGACATCGTGCTCAGCAATATAAACTGGGGGAAAGAAAAAGAAAGGGAGGGACATTCACAGTTATGACATACTTCTTCCCAAGTGCCCATTACATGTGATGGAGCTCTGATTTCCTGGAAATGGCTGAACACCTGCCTGCTGACGGGAAATGGCGAATGAATTCCTTATTGTGCTTTGCTTGTGCATGTAGCTTTTGCTTCATCTGTTAAACGGTCTTTTTCTGTTAAACGGTCTAAACCCACAAGTTTTTGCACTTTTACCCTTCCAATTCTTCTCCCCATCCCACTGCAGGGAGTAAGCGAGCAGCTGCGTGCTGCTGAGCTGCCTGCTGCGGTTAACCCACGACAGAACTAAAAAAACTAATTCTGTCCTATTTTCACTATGTAACAACACATCCATCCACTACCATGATTACTCTGGTATTTAAAATTGCTAATAACTCACTCTAACTTCTACCTGTATTACATAACTCTATTCAATCAGAATAATTAGACCAATGTTAGAAAATTAGTTTACCATTTTGGGGACTATAATAGTTATGTCTTTAAAGAAGTGCATAGAACATTACAGCGTAAGTATTAAGTCACATCTAAATTAATTTCTGCTAGTTACTTCATCTCAAGAATTAACTCAAAGTGTCTAACAACTGCAGTCTGATTTTTACAAGCTCTTAATACATTAAGAAATGTATATTACACTACAGACATTAATTTCCCACAGGGTATTTAGCTGAAACACTTCCAGTTGACTTGACCTAAAAATCACAGACAAAATGCTTAAATCTCAGTGAAAGGCACTTTCTCCTTGCTAAATTAAGAATATAAGGCCCAAATTACTACTTACGTACAATCAGCAGTTTATTCCTATTTAGCTAGCACTATTCAGCTTTATACTATCAAAGCAGTCCTGACAGTTCTTGCTTTAAGTGGCTTCCACCGTTTCTTTCCACAAAGGAGGAAAACACCAAATTCATTACAAAAGGGAAAATTTTGTTATGTTAGTACAAAGCTAGTTATAAATGAATGCTGTCAAGTCCACTTCACATGAAGGGTGAACCACTGCCTTACAGGGTTTTCTTGAACAGTTCAATAAGAATTGATGTTCCTATATATTCTCCCTTGAGAAGCCCAGCATAGTAGAGATGAATTTGAATTAAGCAGAAATCCCATAATTCAGTGACAGAACAAAATGTAACATCTATTTTAACTATTAAAAAAAAAAAACTTTTGTGAACATCACAGATACCAGAGGTAACGTATGTATAAACAAGTTAGCAACAGGCTGCAGTTATTCAGTGAAAACATAACCTTGTTAGTTCTCAAGAAGGTTGTGCAGAGGACAGTAAAGGAGTGCATGCATTTTGCTTACCTGGTTCACATTTCTTAAGAGTTTTGGTACATCTGAAAAACGCTGTTTTGTTTGTTGGGGTTTTTTTAACCCAAACTGAAACCCTGAGCACTCAAATCCCCTCCATAACCTTTCATTCACCGCTTTTCCAGTGCAGGCTGACAAGACAGAAGCTTATCTGCTGTTAAGACATTAATCATTAATGTCTCCAGCCTGTAGGTGGAGAGTGTAATCCGTAAGGTTTTCTCAAGCCTCTACAGGTCACAAAAACAACCACTTTCAATTCCATTTTTAAGCCTGCTGGTCACCCACTGTAACTCATAAACTGTTCAACTCATGTATTTTCAACAGCATCCTCCACCTAATGTGCTGGCCACAGACTGCATAAAAATCTCAGCTTCCAAATGGTCTCAGCACAGACTGTCAGAAGCAGAAAGTCAAGTCCATACTCAAGGAGAAAAGAGTGGGAGAAAATAATGTTAAAGCAACCTGGAGCACACATGAAAGTCACTTCAAACCTCTCTGGACTAGCAGCCAACCTCATTTTGCCCATGCCCAGTGCTTCATCAGACACCAGTAAACTATCATACTATTCAGCATAGAGAAGAGGAACATAAAAAACATTTTAGTCCTTATTCATGTACCTTCAGTGAAGCCCATGGGGGCACAGGATCCTGTTGTTTCTCTCATGATGTAACAACTAGGTTAGAACTGGTGCTTGATAATAAGACTACTCAGGAAACACTAAAAATAAAGTCATCTGTGAGAAGCGCTGATCACACTTTCACAAGTTGCAGATTTGGATACTGCTTCATAACGTACGATATCAAACACAAGGATAGATTTGAACACACTGGTTTGGCTAACTGCTCCTTCATTGCAAGTACCATTTCTGAAGTACACTAGAAACCTGACCATTAATTGCTAAGTCATCCCAAATCACCTAGGTAACAAAACCTAG